AGTTATTACTTTTTATTTATACTATGATTTTGAAATATTTTTATGAGACTTTTATAGAACTCTTCACTTGAAATCATAAAAATTTGAAATACATTTTTAGGTATTTTATTCACTATTTAATCAGAAGTCATTTTAGTGAAAACTAAGTATAATTGTACTAAATCTTTATAGTAACTAAACTTAGCAATAAATTGAAGGAAAGAATATACATATATGTAAATTAAAAATAATTATATATTTCCATAATTATATATACACATGAGTATATACGTATGTATATGTAGATACATATTAAATAAAATTTCTAAAGGATATTCCAAACTTGAACAAAACATTTTATGCAAAACAAAATTATTGTGGAGAAGTTGGCAAGAATGGCAAAATGGCAAATTGATTCCTTTTTAAAATATAAATTTTGTCTATTTTATACAGAACTATTTGGGATAATCCCACTGTATTTAGACCAGAGAGATTTCTAAATGAAAACGGGAAACTGAATAAAAGTCTTACTGAGAAAGTTCTGATATTTGGAATGGGAATCCGGAAGTGTCTCGGAGAAGATGTTGCACGAAATGAGATATTCATTTTCCTCACCACGGTTCTGCAACAGTTCAAGCTGAAAAAATGCCCCGGAGCCGAGCTCGACCTGACGCCCACATACGGGTTATCCATGAAACCCAAACCGTACCAACTCCAAGCGGCGCCCCGCTTCCCGGATAGTTGATGTTCTTAGATTCTCGTGCTGGTGGTGGGAATCTAAGTCAGAAAAATTATACAATTCAAATTCATTTAACAAACAATTTAAAGATTGTACCCTAAACTGTGCTATTAGTTCAATTTCCTGTCTTTCATCCTACTGTAGAAAGTGTTTTTCCAAGTGTATATGGTATAAAGGGGAAGGGAGGTGGGAGGTGAAGAAGATAAAGGAGGTCAAATACATGGTGATGGAGGGAGTCTAGACCTTGAGTGGTGAGCACACAATGCGATATATAGGCTATATATTGTGGAATTACACACTTGAAACTTAATTAATGTTGTTAATCAATGTCTCCCCATAAATTTAATTTTTAAAAGTGTATGGTATAGCCTCAGCTCTAATATGAGAGATCTCGTCTCATGATGATATTTTAAGATAATAATAAAATGTGATATAATTCAGGAGTTTCAAACCCATGTCTCATGTGGTCGTGTCTTAGGTGTCGCTGAGTCACTGTGAGCATGAAAGGAAAGAAAAAGTGAGTGATGGATTCAATAAGCAGGAAGGAGGCTCTGTTTATCTTCCTTTTCACCAGCTTCAAATGGGTATATTTATATTGGTTTTAAATATAGGGTTCAGAATAAGAACAAGGTTCTGATATTAAATTTATTTTTCCCAGTTGCCTAGGAAATAGGTGCTTAAGAGATCTTGACAAAGGAACCAGCATGGCCTAGAACAGCAGAGAACATTTCACAGTGATAATAGATGAGCTGTGCTAGATTTAGAGGGGTGGAGAAGAAAATACGAGGAGGAATTTCTTCAAAATCCATTTTTATATTGGCTCTTATGTTTTCTGTATTAAGCATTTAACTTCAGGGCAAATTTGGTGTTTTTACAACGTTACCGATTTCTCGGGACACCTACTAAATATGCATGTGTATTAGTTTGCTAGGGCTGGCATAATAAAATATCACAGTCTGGGTACCTTCAATGGCAGAAATTTATTTTCTCACCAATGTGGACCCTGGAAATCCAAGATCAAGGTGTCAGCAGGGTTGTTTTCTCCCAAGGCCTCCCTCCTTTTATAGATGGCTATTTCCTCTTTGTCGCCACATGTGGCCTTTCTTCTATGTGCACACACTCCTAGTCTCTCTCTTTTTTCTTATAAGGACATCAGTCATATTAGAGTGGAGCCTCATCCTACTGGCCTCATTTTAACTTACCTCTTTAAAGAACTTATCTTTAAATACAATTTCAGTTTGAGGTACTGAGTGTTGGTACTTTAACATATGAATTTTGGGTAGGGGAAGAGGGCCACATGCAGCCCCTAACAACATGTTGTAAGAAAAAAAATAGTAATTATTTAAAAAATATTTTTCAGTGTAGTACCCAGCATTAAGTATGTACTTCTTAAATTGAATCTGTTAATGAGCTAAGACACATAGGGAGCATAATAAAATGTGCATTTTATTATTTATTTATTTATTTATTTATTTATTTATTTATTTATTTATTATTTTTAGAAATGTGTATTTTAGATTGAAGTTTTAAGGGGAGTTGCATTAAAAAGGATTTAGAATTCAAGCTGGGAGATAAGAGCAAATCTGTGGTCTAATTTAAAAGGGAGAACAGTTAGGGAGGGGTGGCTCTAGATAATGACCATCCTGACCAGGGTATAGCAGGGTATAGCAGAGAAGTTAAACAAGGTACATTCAAACACATTGAGGATTAAAATCAGAACTTGGTCTTTCTTTTAAAATATAAATAGATTCAGCATTATCCTTAGGAATAAACAAATCGGATTGCTTGTCCCTTTTTGTAAAAGCTTTTGAAATTATTTATATTATCCCCATGACAGTGTGTCAAGTGGAAACTATTTTTGCATTTTTTTCTGTAAGAAACTGTCAAATCTGTATATTCAACAATAATGGGGATGACTAGAACACTATGAGAATCTTGGTATCCATTTATCTGGTATTTTCTTTAAAGAACTGCATTTTTCTAACCTTTTTTTTTTTATTTAACAGTGAGCATATATAATTCTATACTTTTATTTTAACACATTGTATTATAAAATGCTAATTTTCACTTTTACTGTGCTCCTGAGGCATAATTAAAAGGTGTATTACTGGGCTTTTTGTATAATTCATAAGTTTGCTTTTTATCTACTTTTAGAAACATGGATAAGAATAAAACAGGTAAAAGAAAGTATAAAAGTAAAGTAGGAATAGCTTTTTTTTGTCATTTAATATATAAAGATGAGTTATTTTTAATTATAGGGTTTTGCTTATCCTGAGGTAATAATTTATTTTATGAAATGTAATTAGAAGCAACATATATACCAAAATATTATATCAGAATAACATATTAACATAAATACTTTAAATTATTATCTGGAAACTACAAATAAGATTCATTATGACTATAGAACAGTTGATAATATATGGATGTATGCATCAGTGGTGATCCAAGATGAGTAAAGTCTTTCAAGTCTTGTTACACACAAGTATATAAGGATACTTATAACTCTACTCTCTCCTTGTAGCTACAGCCCCATGGGGCTTTTGGTAACATCATGAAGGTGATGACCAGCCTAGAAACATTATCTGCTTCATGATGCAAATAGGATGGAATGTGTCTGGTCCCAAGCGTTCTTTAAAGAAGAAAATTTGAAGCAAAATTTATAGTCATTTATATATATATTCCCACATTGCAATTCTCTAACTTATTCCCAGTTATACTTATAATTCAGATGTGATATTGACCCACATGACAGGGTAAGAAATCAGAACGATTCCTGAGTGGAAGAAGGGGTCTTTTGGGGATTTTACCACCTACATAATTATTAATTAGGCTGTAAAATCTACAGATGCTTCCAGACCTCCAGGTGAGTGGATACACAATTTGATTTTTCAGATTCACACAGGATTTCCCCATAAATTCTAAGATTCAGACTTTAAACAAATAAAAAAGCACCACAGTATGTACACCTCAAATCAGAAATAGCTAAAGGGAGCTGTTTTATAGCTTAACAGTCAATAAAAACAGATTCCCTGTGAGGACTGCACCACTGACTTTCTCTTTAGATAAGAATAAAATACATGATGCAGATAACTGATTCTTTACGATAAACATTTTTAACACTAAGAAAGCCAAAGTTAATAAAAATCATAAAAGTTTATAGGTCTCCTTCTATCCTACATCATGTTGTTTACAAAGAATAGTTTACCTCAATTTAATGTGACTATCGGGCTCCATCAATAGTAAACCACACACACATACACACACACACACACACACACACCACACCACACACACACACACACACAATAATACCGTTGCCTTTATCTGCTAACCCTATGGACAGAGAAGCATGTTGCATGAATGAATTTTCCAGCTAAGTGAAATGACCAAGTTCCAAAATGCTCATTTTAATGGATCTTCATAAAAGTCTGAGTTTCTGATGTTTTAAACTGCTCTCACTAAACATAATTTTATCTTTTACAGACTTTATGGTGACATTTATTTCTAAAGGAACTGCACCAGGCTATACTTACTTGTACTCTTGATCACATCCTTCATCTCTGCCCCAAGGCTTGGTTTTATTCACGATTTTAATGCAATCTTCCCTCCTCCCTGCAAACTCCACAAATGCAGGACCAAGTCTGCTTAGCTTCCCTTTGTATGGAACTGTTTCAGGCACATAGTAGACAATCAATAAATGATTATTTAGTGAATGCAGGAATAAATTAATAATTAAATGAATGGATCTGGTGGGAAAGCAGGAAAAATTTTAGTTAAAGGAAGTGTCTTAGACTTTCTCACATGGTGAATATTTCTGGCATCCCTGCTTATACTTTGATTTGTACCTTCTTGCCTAAATCTTGGTCTGAAAATCTGTTCAGTCTTCTCACACTTGCTTAAGCTGTAAGATCCAAGTCTCATCAAATAAGCCCTTAATTCTTTTTTTTTTTTTTAACTGACATTTTCATAGTACCAGATTCCAGCTGGAAATTAGCCCCGTATCTCTCTTCCCATGATGACTATCAAAGTGTGTCCTGGTCATTTTGTAAACTTCTCAAGGATAACATCTCAAATGTTTTCCAAAAAGTCACTATGTTTCTCTCACTTTGACCTCTTCATCTTGCCAACACACATGCATGTCAGTAGCTGACCATGCCATTTGTAGTCTAATGGCAACTCTGATGCAGAGAAATGATCACTGTTTTCTCCCTGTAATATTTACACACAAGGATTGGTGTTGAGATTTACCTATTTTTCAAGGGCATAACTGAGAATGGTGATTCTGAAGAAAGCTTACTTGAAGGTTTGGGCATATTGTAAGGGACTACACACACACACACACACACACACACACGTCCTGTCACCTACTGCCTAAGCCTAGACTGTTCCCAAGACCTCATCTACTTTTTTTCTTCCTGTAGACATGTACAGTTCCTCCACCCTCTACTTCACCCTCCCCCATTGTTCCAATCCCCTGAGAACTTTTCACTCAAGATTTTGCACACTCGGAGGCTGACAAAACAAAGAAACAAGCTAGTCCTCTCTCAGTCCTAGGGAGATGGGATTTACCTCCTGATCCATGCCCCAGCCATAAATCTTTACTTCCTACCCTAGGATTAAGTTCTACCAAGGATGATTAAAGTGAAAACTTTTACTTTGTTTAGGGCCAATCTTAGGACCCAGAGGGGAGAAGTTGGTTTTATAATCTCCACAGATATTCACATCGTTGCTTTCCAAAATCTGGGCTACTTATTCCTATTGTCGCCATGTTATGCTAAAATTAGAGAAACAAGTATTTATCTTGATTTGTTCTAGATCTCTTAAGCTATTGCTGTTTCACTGTAAAGACAAAAGCCCTAAAGTCTTTGAATTTCTTCTGTGTCAGGTGATGTGGTAGATATTTTGAAATTATTAATTTTGATGCAAACCAGGGAATAGTTATTAATAATACCTTTTTGCAGAAAAGGAGGCTCAGAAAGATGAAGTAATATAGCCAAGATCAT